AGGAATTCAAAAATTAAGTGAAAAGGATGGAAGAAATAAAAATCTGCAGTGCTTGGGAAAATTCTGCCACAATAGGAATTTCAAAAGCAGAGATTTCAACCTACCAAAAGTCAAATGTAGAAATGATTCCAGAAAGCTCTCCAACCGCCATCTCCTACAGGGATCCCTTCTAGCGATGGTTTTAATTAAGTTAACAGGTCTTTTTCAATATGTAGGTTTTATTTCAGGTTAACAAAAAGTAAAAAGATTGTTTAGTTTACTAAGAGTCTAAGCCAACTTATATGTCAACTGTATACAAGGCAAAAGTAAAAACCAGACTCTTCAGATTTTCCAACAGATTATGATGTTAAAACAGTATGGCCTGGTGCCAGCATAAAGAGAGATCTGTGGGATAAAATCCAGAAACAGATCCATAGGTAAGGGTTTTTATATATGGCTCTGGTAGAGAGTCAGTTGCCTTCCAACATCCATCCTCTCTTCTTTACTAAGAGAACCCTATATTGTTGGTGGTAGAAACACGTCTCTTGAAAAGACTTTTCTCTAACTTCTATTGTATAGGAATAAAATATAATGTGGGATTTTGGGAAAGTTTTCCTAAAGGGATTCAGGTAGGAGGTATGCCATTTTGTTCTTTCTTTTCTTCTTCTTCCACTTTTCTGCCTGGAACTCCAACATGATGGCTAGAGTTGCAGCACCCACCTTGAGACCATGAGGAACAGACCAAGAGAATATCAGAGATATCAGGATACCTCAGCCCCCATATCCTCAAGCTACTGAACCAACGCCAGCAAACACCCACTTTGAATTCTTGTTATATGAGAAAAGTAAGCCCTTATATGTTTAAGTAACGTGCACTTTGAAAGATGACCGTAGGAAAAGGAAATGCTTAACTAACATATACATACGCACGTCCAGGAGCCAAATTAAATTTAAATCAGATTAAAGTGGCTACTTACACAACAGTACCTTCCTATATATAGCCAAGTGCAAAATAATGTGTCTTAAATGATACTGAACTTCTCATCCATCTATATTTAGAGGCAGATGGAGGCTTTAGGTAAACATCTGAAGGAAAGCAGATGCCAAGATTTACCAAATTAACTCTGATGTTGGCAAGAACTGTGCAGTCTGCTCACCATGCCTCAGTTAAGCACTCTTTAGCTTATGGCAAACCTCCTCTGTGTATGGTTTCTAGTCATAGGCAGGGGACAGGTCACATAATCCCTGAAGGTCACCTTGCAGGTGGGCTGTCTTCTTGAGAACATGTTATGTAACACGGGACTTTGCAACCTGCTTTTCAACAAATAGCCATCAGTATCACGTAGATATCAACTCAAAAAGTAGCATGTTGAATAGTTCTGAGCCACCCCTGAATGTGCCCCTTTTCCCTCCAGTTGCTGCCTGACCCCATTCCTCTTCTTTCTGCCCCACACTGGACCCCCTCCATGTTACCTTCCTGCTTTACTTCTGTGTACATCATACAGGTTTAGAATTTAAAGCTAATGGTTCTGAACTGAAGTCCTGAGTCTGCTGCTAATAAGATGTCATTAACCTAGTAGCCTTCCGCCTCCTCATCTGTGAAAGAGGAACAAGGGCACTGACTCACATGGTTACCATGATGACTAAATGAGCTAATGCACTGGGCACATTTTGGCAGGAAAAACAGCCTGGCACAGGGCTGGATGATGGTAAGGGATCAGAAGCATTTGAAGCAGCCCAGTGTCATTGACCAGTGGCCATTCTGTAAACAAGGACTGGGCTTCAGCTTCAGCATGCTACGTGTACTCCCGCACTCAGACACCATCTCCAAAGGCAACAGCCATGGATTTCCGCTGGGTAGACTGGTGCAGAAACATCAAAGGCTTCCACGATTCTCATGGTCAAGGAAGAATCAGACAAGGGCCCACTTGTACTATTTTTACAATTTTTCTTCAGGTTTGACATATTTTCAAAATAAAAATGGATTTTTTTTAAAAAGAGAATCACAGGGATAATGGGGAGAGGACAGAATGAAAGTGCTTTAAATCTCTGCCTCATATTAGGATCAGGCAACACATTTTTAGTAGCACAGTTTTGAATATTTTTTAGGTCTAGTGTCATTGCTGTCTTCTTGCTATAACCTATACTTTCCAAGTATTATCTGGTTCACTTCTTTGTTGTAAAAATAACTTTTCTTGTTTCTTATTTATGAATTAGTTGATGAACATATTCTTTTTTTTCTATTATGGTGGTGAAATATACATAACATATACCACTTTAGTCAATTTTAAGTGTACAGTTCAGTGGCATTAAGTACATTCATATTGTTGTGCAACCATCACCACGATCCATCCACAGAACATGTTCATCTTCCCGAACTGAAACTCTATACAAATTAAACACTAACCCCACAGTCTCCTGCTTCTGCGTCCTGCCAACCACCATTCTACTTTCTGTCTCTACAAATTTGATTACTCTAGGCATCTGTATCATAGGAATCATACAATATTTGTCCAATATTTGACTGGCCTATTTTGCTTAACATGTCTTCGAGGTTCATCCATGTTGTAGTGTGTGTCAAAATTTCTTTCCTTTTTAAGACTAAATAATATTCCATTGTATGTATACATTACATTTTGGTCATCCATTCATCTGTCAGTGGATACTTGCTTCACTTCCATCCTTTCAGCTATTGCGAATAATGCTGCTATGAACATGGGTGTACAAATACCTGTTTGAGTTCCTGCCCTCACTCTTTTGAGAATATCCCCTATATAAATCTTATGTTCTTAGATATCCAATTTCTATCCTGGTTGCCCATCCATCTCACAAACATTTACTGTGCGCTTGCCATGTGTCAGGGAGGCACTGTGTTAGATTCTGGAGAGATGCAACTAGAAACTCTACTGCCTGCAGAAATGCAGAGAGAAATAAACAGTGAGGTCCTAGGTAACTGATAACACAATCCAAGAAATCCCAGTTATTTTGTCACATTCACATTTGAATTTCTTTTCTATAGAAATTTTCCGGAAAAGACAAGTCACTAGCTAGCATTTGGAATTTTTTTTTTTTTTAATTCAGGGATTTTCTTGCCATGATGTTGAATTGATGTTCAATTCAACGACAGATGTTCAATTCAATGGTCAACATCAGTTGAAATGATGTTCTTCCTTTCTGAGGATCTCTTCTCCAGTTCTGCACCCCATCTTTCAGCTCTACAATCATTCTATTAATGTTTTTTTCACATTGTAACTTTGCAACCTAATTGGTGTCTACCTTGTGTATCATTCCATTTCTTTCTTCTGACACATCTGCCGTATATGTCTGTCTGAACTTGCCAGCCTCAGAGGAGGGCAAGAGGGTTGCTGGAAAGGCTAAAGGAAGAAGGAACCTGGTAGAAGGTGATGGCTGGGCAGAATGAGCTCCTCCTTGTTCCACTGAGGTAGAATGTGGGGCTGTAGAGAAAGGACACAGCACAAATATTGCAAATATGCTGCAGTGACACAGACAGCAGGAGAAGGAAGGAAAAAAGGAGCCTTGGAAAGCACAGGAACTCTGCGAGGTGTTGTTTCTTCTGGTCCTGGGCTGAACTGTCCACCCTCTGCTGCCGTCTGAACGAGCTGCTCTCGAGTGGACTGTCCAGATCTTGCAGATGACCATGAGAAATGTCAGGGCTTGCAGACTCTTGGAAACAGGTCTAACCTACCCAAGAGCAGACAGGCTGACTGGACAAGCCCGGGCACAGCCAAGAAGCAATTCTTGCCAAAGGGTCATCCTTGCCAGTTTTCCCCTTAACTAGATTAGAAGAAAGCCCAGAAGACCAACAAGAGAAGATGGGGTTGCACAGGGGAGGGAAATGAAAAGAACAGAAGAGCTGGAAGCACAGAAGATTCCTGGGGAAGGAGTTAAGAATATGCCACTCCAAAATATCCCACTGTGATATTGACTTTTGAATTAAGGGTACTTGAAAAATAACAGGTACAAGACCATTCTGCCCTTCGTGCTGTTTCTTAAAAGCAGGAGATGAAATCCTTATGTGAAATGAGAATGCTGACAGACAGTCTCCTTAACAGTCTTGTCAAGGACAGAAAGCTGTGGCCGAGAAAAATTTGTACAAACTTTGTTACACAACCCTTATCCTCCTACCCGCTTCTCCCAGTTAACTACCCTAGCTCAGGCCTCTTTTTGCCTTGCTACATTTTCATAATTTCCTACTCTTTCTCCAATCCACTATATAAGTGTTCGATTCTCACTGCATCTCTGGGGCTTCATTTCCTTATGAGGGTTCCCCTGTCCCATAAAACTTATATTAAATAAATGTGTGTGCTTTTCTCCTGTTGATATTTCTTATGCCAAGTTAATTCTCAGGCCCAGCTGAAAAACTGTAAGAGTGTAGAGGCAAATTTTTGCTTTCCTACAATAGAGATTTACTTGAGACTATAGAGAACTTTATTATCACCAGGTGCTTTTTCAATTTTATTTATCTATTGTTGATTTGCTTACTATGGCAGGGCAGCACATGGCATCAAAACAGGTTTGGAAGCATTTTGGAGCATCTTGGAGGAGGAGAGCGGCTGGATTTTATTGAGATGTTGAGGTTTGGTTTAAGGCTGGAATTTTACTGTGGGTGGGGTTTGGGGGAGGCTTGACTAGGATTGGATAAGGATCATGATATAACAGTTTAGGACTCTAGGTAATTTTTCATGCTCTAGAAACCATGGCTAAAAGCACTCCTGCCACAGAGTTGTTCTGCCTTTTGCCTTTAAAAATGATTTTCTGCAATTATATTACCCAATTGTACTCCTTTAAGAATCATGTATGAGCAACATTTTAGGTTTTTTTTTAAATTAAATAACCTGAATCTCTTGGTTAAATCTAGACTTTAGCACAAAACTCTTAGGTTTTAGAGCTTGGGGGAGGTAGGTAAAGCAGAGAGAAATTACAAGGCACAATTTTTGCTTCCTATTATTTTGAAGCTTCTGAATTCATCTTAATCTGACTATAAATAAACTGAAACTTACCTTCGTGTCACCTCCAATGAAAACCCCAGGCTGATGGTATAAACAGCATAGGGAAAGGAGCATCACCGTCAGTTACTGAGGAGGTGCTATAGATGTCTGTACTGGGACAGAGACCGAGGATGCAGTTCTAGAACATGGGCCCTATAAAGAGAAACCATGTGCGGGAGGACTTTAGAACAACAGTCATTTAAATGCAAACAGTGATGGGACTGATGACAACTATTCCTCTGACGTTAACCCAGAAGGATTGCAAAAGATGCTACGTTTTTGAGCCTCATTAACTGTGAGGAAGGCCTCTAACAAAGATGCTCACTTTATTATTAACTCCTCAACCAGGATATCAGTAGCCAAATTGGCAAAGGACACAAAGGTGAGACTCAGCTTATATGGAAAATAACAGAAATAGGAACCAAGCAGATTACTTGGATTAGTAAGATGAATTTTAACAGAGAAAAGTACAAAACTAACATGTGCAAAAAATTAACCGTATTTGTTAATGGAGAAACGTGGTTCATGGAGAATTGTGGTTTGCGGAGAAACGTGGTTGGACAGGAGCATCTCTAGAGGATAGTTTAGCGTTTTGGCTGACCGTACGTTTGGCATGAGTCACAGTTTGGTTCGAGACTGTCAAAAATGCAGCAAAACAAAAACAAAACCAAAACCATCGTGGTCCTGGACGGCATGCAAACCACAAAGCTGCAGAATGACACAGCTGAATGCAGACTGCGAATCCCTGTTTCTATGAATAGTACCACCCAAAGAGGAAAGCATTTCCACAGTTTAGACTTTGGGACAGAGGAAGGGACCACCCCACTCTGCTCTGTCCTGAGCAGACACCCTGAGAAATGAGTTTGTGTCTGGCTACACCCGTCTGCTGGAATCATAACTGATGGAAGTTAAGCAGCCCAGTGAGAAGCTAGCGACCACAAGAGGGACGTGGAAAGGCTAAGGCTGAAGAAGTAACGACTCAATAGAGGAGTGAAAGCTGGCTCTAAATATTTAAAGACTTATTAAAGCACAAATTGCTGAGCCTCACAGGTTCCCAGGGGATGCTGACGTAGATGGTCCTGAGGCCACACTTTGAGAACCGCTGCTCTAGGTAACAAAATTGTAGTTTTTTTAAAATACTCTGTAGTTCTAAGATTCCACTAAGACCCGATGGCCTGTTTCTCAGTAAATACACATTGGGAAAAATTTACTGGTTTTGAAGCCTCACACATTTGTGGTTAAGATTATGTTCTTTCTAACATTTCATATCGCTTAGCAGAAGTTCAATCTTTCCTTTATGCCCCTTAGTGTTTCTTATTAGTTCAGCTTTGTAAAGCAGACTTCTGTTTCTGCTTCATTTTCTGTAATCTTTATATAGTAGACATTTTTCCTCTGGTCTTCCACTTTGCCTGTATTTTTCTGTTATGTTCAGCAGATCAAGCTTCATAACATACTAAGTTGTGAGCTACCTTTATCAAATGATATCTGGCTCCCCACATCTACAATAGTAAATACTGATCCAATCCTGTCTCTAAATGCCCACACTGAGCCCACCATCCCAGAGATCTATTAGGATGGAAACGGCTGCATTCAATTCCTGATTAATTTTCTTTTCTCTTATATACTTGAAGCTTCGGTCTTTAGATATCACTAGGAAAATTACAAGCATATGGGAATGCATGTAAATGACATGCAAAGTAATGCAAATTAATACAAAACATACATCTCTAAATTGCTTGAGAAAAGTCTATAAGCCTCAATGTTGATGTTATTTGCTTTGCTTCACTACACTCTGGCAAGCAGTGACTGGATCCTTTTATTACAGTTAATTTTATACAGCATCGAACACCTGACACTTGTTGACACATTAAGTGGAAGATGCCTTGCCTGTGAGTCAGGCAAAGGGACGCCTGGCTTAACGCTAGGCCACAGTTTGGTCCTGTATGTCCGTTGCGACAGTTTTCGGAAGATTCTCTGTAGGGCTTTTCAGATTCTACACCGAAATGATTGAAATGGCATCATGAATAATAAAACCGCCACGGACTAAGGTTTACTGAGCACTTACTATGTGCTAGGCTATAAGGCACACATGATGTACAACACTGTGCTTGCATAATGCACACAGGGCAATCCTTACAACAGCCCACAAGGGGGTGCTGTAGAGCACGTACCCCTTAGGTGTGGTGTCATTTCAGAGACCAGGAAACACAGACAGGAAGGTCAGGAAGCTTGGGCCTGGTCCTAAGCTAGGCGAGTGACAGAGTCAGATCCAGGAGCTCAGCAGTCTCACTGTAGAGGCCTTGCTCTTAGCCATGCTGCACATCCTGTAGCGGTGGATTATCAGTCCGACTGTTTTCTCCTGAAACATTATTGTGCTGTGATACTGTGAACGATCATCACTCACAGTCATACGCTGTAAAACAGTTTTCACTATAGAGAGTTGATAGCTGTATTGATATAACTTGAGCAAAGATACCATCACAATCCAAGGGGGGGGATCCAGACCATCCTGTGTGTTCAGCTTCTCTTTCTAACCCACTGCATACATCCCATATGTCTAAGGTCCTCCCTCATTCTTAAAGATCGCTAGCCCTTCCGGTCCCACCTCTCATCTCTGGGATAGCAGGTTCCGGTCCTCAGCCACCCATCGCCGTGGTCCGCCCGGCACCCCACACGCCCAGGATTCAGGACCCCCAGCGCGCCCTGGTACAGATGACCCAACCATGCTTTGGAGAGTCAGCCAGGCGAGTGCCCTATCGTGGCGCCACGCTTGGGAAGCCATTCCACTCCCCGGAGCCTGCGAACTGCCCAGACTCCAATAAAACCGAGAGACTTGTCTTTCCTCCTCCGATGTCCCTGTTTCTGTAAATAGCAGCACCCAAGCTTAGAGGGAGGTCACGCGTGGCATTCTCAGCCACCGCTCCACACAACTGTCAGCCCAAGTCACTCCAGCAGCAGGCCTTGAATCGGGCACTGTGTCATCCTACTGCACGGAGCCTCAGGCCCAACTGCCAGGCTTCTGCACCCTCTGAGCCCAGGCGCCCTGTCTACCTTACGGGGTCCCTCACGTCCATGTCGTCCAGGCGCCGCGAGTGGGCAGTGTGTGTTTTGTTTTTGAAGTCCATATCTCATCTGAGCTACTATCAGGTGTGAAAAGCTGTCGCTGAGGGATGCCATACTTGCACAGATACGCCCTGGTGGCACCGCCTGGCCCGGTGCCTGTCCGCTTCCCCGCTCGCTGTGCCATTCTCCGTGCGCTCCCGCCTCAGGGTCATACTGGGAACCTTGTCTTTTGTTCTGTTCCGAGAACTCCTCAGGCTCTCCTCGTGGCTCTGGCTCGTCAGCCACACCATTCCCTTGGGTGGGAATACTCCCCTTTCTCACCTCTCCCGTCCCCCAGGGCTGCTTAGTTTACACAGCTCCTACTCATCCTCAGCCCACCTTCAATCTCCCCAGCAAGGCCTCCTGCCTCAGCACAGATGCAGTGAGCTGCATGCAGCACATCCGCGCCTCACAGCAGCCAATGTGCCTGGCTCACAGCCAGTGCTCAACACAGGTGGACTGAAGAACTCACTTGTCAGCCTTGCTTTGCTGATTTTTACTGTCTCACTGCTTTTTCCCACCTTGTAGCCTAAGAAGGAAATCCCCTGAAGCTGACTCCGTTTTACCTCTCCTATGTGGTGCTGTGATAAGCCTCAGGTCACCAGGTCATGCTCCCAGCACCGTGGGTCAAGGGTGAGGCAGAAACAGCACCGTCAGGTACAGGGCCCTCTACCTGCTCTCTCGCCCCCTCCCTTCCTGGAAAACCACCATAGGTCAAAGTCAGTTTGGGAAGCACCTGTATTTATGGCCTGCTTATCTTGAAGGCACTTGGCCAGGTGCCATGAAGTGCCAACTCTGACTGATTGCCTGACTATGCCATTCACCCCTCCCTACCTCTGTGCAGGAGATGTGACATTTAGCAAATCAGTATAAACTTTTTCCCCCAAAGAAAAGAGTATAAACCTTCTCATCCCACCACCCCCCCACAGCAGGAAACTCCTTTCAGTACCCCCCCCAGAGAAAATTCAGCGGCCACACAATTCCTTGGCTATTGTTTCTCTCCTGATACCAGAAAGAGATAAATCAACAACATCTTTAATTGGTCATTTCTCTCACAAAATTGGATCCTTAGAAAGTGCAACATAGGATATGCTCTCTATAATGATTCACTTTTAAAGATTTTACTTCCTTAAGACACTATCAACAAAAGCTGTCAGAATGAACTATTAGTTTCTAGAATGTTTTAGGCTTATTGATGCTTTAATAGGGGCATGTTTTATGAATGCAAGATCAAAAAGGGCGACTTATGTCTACTCACATGAGACAATTAAATGCATTATATTATCCCCAATTCTGTTAATCTTCTGGTTTGCTGTTCTTCCATTATTAAAGACTTTAAAAAAAAAAGAAAGAAGAAAAAAAGGAATTTAAAAAGTGCTCCAAGGCCAATATCGCCTCTCTGCCTGCCCAGCAAGGGAACAATATACTGTTTCTCAGGCTACGTGACTCGGAAAACTTACCCGTCAGGGAAAGCTGAGTCCTTAAATTTACAGAACACCCACTCGTCCCGTTTGCCTAGCACTGTTTCCTACGTGCAGACTGCTAATGGACTCGAGCGTCCAGTTTCTCGGCTCGGATCCCAGAGGCTCCCGACCCTCTGTGGTAGGCACCGCCACCTCGCAGGGGGACGATCCCGGCCCGCTCTGCGGCACAAAAACTTGACCTTAAAAAGCGCAGAAGCTCGTCTCTGGGAAGGGCGCGGCCTGGGAGGCGCGGCCCGCAGCTTCCGCCCCCAAAGAGCGACTCGGAGGCCCCCTCCAGCCCCGGTTGCCCTGGCGCAGAAGCCGCGGGAGCAGTCCTTTCACGCGCCCCGCGTCCCTGTCCCGAAGCCCAGGGGCGGGGGCTCGGGCAGCATCGCTCGTCCCCGCTGGTCCAGGGCTGCGGAGAAGCTGCAGGAGGCTCTGAAAAGCGAGCGTCGGGAAGCCGGGCTCAGCAGTTCCCCCGGGCCCCCTGCGCCCCGCAGCAGCGCGGGCCAGGCTGCGCAGCGCTGGGCCCCGAAGGGCCAGGACGGCGGGATGCCCCCGCTCCCGGCAAGGGAGCGCCCACGAGCCGCGTTCTTGGCACTCGGGGAGAGTCCCGGGAAAGCCCGGCGCTGGCGCGCCTGCGACTCCAGCCTGGCGGCTCCGCTCCGCCCGCGAGCCCAGGAAGCCGGCGCCGCGGCCCGCGTCCGTTATCCAGGACACACTCCGCGCCTGCCGCCCGCCGCCCTTTCCCAGCGCTGGCCTCGGGGAACTTCCCCGCGTCCGGCCGCGGACGGCGGCTGCTGCGGGAGCCGCGAAGTTGCGGCTTCTGCTAGGCGCGCGTGCGCGCCGGGTAGCCCACCTGGCCCGCGACGCTGTGTCCGCCCGCCGCGCGCTCTGGTCGGCCCCGGGGTTACCGCAGGCGCAGGGAGAGGCCGGGGTTCAGCCCAGGTCCCCGCGCGGCTCCGCGAGGGCGCCCCCGCCTGCCGCCTGGAGAGGGACGCGGCGCCGAAGTTTTCCCCGGCGGGAAAACGAAAGTCGTGAGGAGCAGAGGATCTGGGCGTCCCGGCCACCCCCGGGCGGAGACGAGGCTGAGACCGGGCTAACATCTCCAGCCCCGGGCGACCCTCGCTCGCCAGCGTGGCCAAGTCGACTTACGAGAAGGAGCGGCGCAGCCCCGAACGCGGGTCCGCGAGGCTGCGGAGGCCGCCCCGGCGGGGGCCGCGGGCTGCGCTGTGGGCTCCCAGGCTCTCCGCCGCGGCTTGCTCTCGCACTGCCCCTCCGTTGCCCTGCTGGGGAGCCGTTCTCTCTCGGCCCAGGGTGGGAGAGCGCTGAGCGGCCCCCGTGACGTGCGGCGAAAGGAGGAGCACCGCCGCCGCGCTCCCGCAGAGGGAGCTCCCTGCCCTGCGCTCCCGGTCCCCGCGCCGCGCTTCGGACAAAGTTCCCAGGCGCTCGCGGTGATCTCGGCTCTCCGCCGCTGCCCGGAGCGTCATCCACCTTCGGTTCCCTCCCACATTAGACAAGAAATCTGAGGTCAGGAGAGATAAGTAACTTGCCCAAAGTCGCTCAGAAGGCAGTGACAAAGCAAACTCACATCTGCGGCTCCTTTTTTCCCCCTGAACTCCGGGCTCTGCGGAGGCTCGGGCCCTGCGGGAGTCGCCCAACCAGACAGAAGGCAGCTCGCTCTCATGGGTAAGACGAAGAGTGTCCCACGCAGCCGCGAGAAATATTATCAGCAACGTGGGAAGGTGGAGCTTTTTGCCCAATAACTAGAGTGCAAAGTTGTTTTTCAAACGGTGCCTACATGCCAAATCGGTTTGCTTTTTATCCTTAAGCGAGGGTGAGGGTGGCGGCTGTGCGGACGCCAATCGGGATCACCAAATAAGTGCGCTGGAAAGAAAGCACACAGCTACTTAATCAATTGGTCATCAAGGACTCGGCCTTCCGAGCGGGTTCTTGTGAATATGCTAACCTTGTAAAGCGGGCGCGCCACGCTCTGCTTGCTATTCACGCACTTCCAGGAGTCTCCCGCCAGGCTCCACGTCCTTTCGGGGCCGGGAGCTCCCAGGGCTTGCCTTTCAGGGCAGGGAGTGGCACCAGACAAGTCAATCCCAGTCGGTTTGTTCCTTACTCCTTGGTCAACCAGTGTTGACTGAGGGCCTGCAATGTGCATGGCTGTTGGATGGGGAGCTGAGTCGGTAGGACGTAGGACCTAGGACCCAGTGAATCTCAAAGAGGGAGTGTCACATGGGTCCCCATATAGTTTACTCTCAGAATCTGGAATCTGCCCAAAGCAGTAGAGAGACTCTGAGTCTACCCCAACCCCCACGCCTTTTTAAAAACTCCCTGTGCTCGGAGAGCAAGTGTTTTAATATTCGTTTTACAGACTTACTTTCAAGCAAATGGCCAACTTTGCCTTCACTTCCTCCCCGTGGGACCACCTCTTTCTGGAATAATAATTTACACTTCCTGGGTCTCCCTCATTTGCACATGATGATGGTGATAGTCATGATGGTAAAAACAACTAAGACTTCTATTATCCACCCTGTGCACTGTTCTAAGCCATTTATGCAGATTAACTCTTTCAATCCTCACAACTTTATGAGGGAGGTGCTATTTTAATTCTGATTTTACGGATGATGAGAGGGAGGCAGGTGAGGTGACATAACTTGCCGGTAAGTGGGTGGTCTGTCTGGTGTCCATGCTCTCAGCCACTGAGGTCTCCAGGACTGGAATTCAAAGGGACCATCAGCCATCATTAACCACAGCTTACACATCTCAAACAAGCCATGCTAGGAAATACATGCACTTCCTCCCAAAGAGGTGAATTTTACTATTTTGCGTATATCATGTCATAAAGTGGATATCCATTCACTCACTTGCTCCTCTATTTCCAACTTCCAAGTCAACTATTTTGTCCTAAAGCAAACTATTTCTTAAAAACCTATTCATCATAAAGTTTGCAATTTTTGTTTTGGATTGTTTTATACGCTCAGACCATACCCAGCTGTTTCCCTCTCCTTTCTACTCACAGCCTTGTTATGCTCTTTTTTTTTTTTTTTTTTTTTGGTGAGACAGAGTTGCTCTGTAGTCCAAGCTGGAGTGAGCATGCCACACTGTAAGCATGCTCATTGCGCTCAGCATTCCTGTATTGTTCTTCTAGGACTGCCTAACAAATATCCAGGCAATCTCGGCTCACTGCAACATCCACCTGCTGGGTTCAAGCGATTTTCCTGCCTGAACCTCCTGAGTAGCTGGGACTACAGGTGCACACTAGCACATCCAGCTAATTTTTGTATTTTTGGTGGAAACAGGGTTTCACCATATTGGCCAGGCTGGTCTTGAACTCTGGACCTTGTGATCCACCTGCCTCGGCCTCCCAAAGTGCTGGGATTACAGGTGTGAGCCACTACGCCTGGCCAAGTTACTCTCTTTTATCCCTTAAAACCTTGTTGTAACCAGCCCTGCAGGTCTTCTGAAAGTGGGTTGCCCAAAGATGGTAGTGGCCCCAGAATGGTCTCTGCCACACTGTAAGCATGCTCATTGCACTCAGCATTCCTGTATTATTCTCCTAGGACTGCCTAACAAATACCACAGACTGCATGACTTAAAACAACAGAAACGTATTTCCTTACAGCTCTGGAGGCTGGAAGCCTGAAATCAATGTGTTAGCAGGCTGGGATCCCACTGTGCCCCTTCCTAGCTTCTGGTGGTTGCTGGTAATTCCTGGCATTCCTTGGCTTGCAGCTGCATCACTCCAGTCTCTGACCTTTTCCTGTGTCTCCTGTGCAAACACATTTTCCTCTTCTTTAAGGACACCAGTCATTGCACTTAGGGCCCACCCTAATCTAGTATGACCTCATTTTAACTTGATTACTTGGCAAAAACCCTATTTCCAAATAAGGTCACTTACACAGGTTCCAGGTAGACATGAATTTTCAGAGAATGCTGTTTAACCCGGTGCAGTCTCCAAAAGTCATTTAATAAAATGACAGTTAATAAAAACATATTGCCTGAGCTAAGGATGCAAAGAGGTGTAAGTCACAGCCCCTGCCCTCCAGGAAACTCTAGTTACAGAGGTAGTCCTTGCACTGAGAACATAAAGACTGGAGTCACTAAGAGCCAACTAACTGGAGCCAAATGACAATCTGGGGACCAAGTGGCAGCTATACACAAGGAATTCAGCCAAAGGGGAACAGTCACTGAGGATACGGTTCTAGGACTGCACTCAAAGGTGAGGGTGATTCAAACACATCTATGAGGGAAAAATTGAAAAAGCAAAGAGAAATAAGGAGAGCTTATCAGAAACACAGCTCCAAGGGGAAGTGTGCCTGGCAGAATTTTACTTCTTGAGTTTCATGTAGAAATGAAAGACTGAAGGGATGCAAATACCTATCATACTGAGTATAAGAACATGGTGAATTACTTTTACTGTACTAATAGCATGCTGTAATGCCATAGCAATTAGCCTGCTTTAAAGTGCTCTCTTCACTGGGCACAGTGGCTCATGCCTGTAATCCCAGTACTTTGGAAGGCCGAGGTGGGAGGATCACTTGAGGTCAGGAGTTTGAGACCAAGCTGGCCAACATGGCAAAACCCAGTCTCTAGTGAAAATACAATAATTAGCCCGTGTGGGGGCGGGCACCTGTAATCCCAGCTACTTGGGAGGTTGAGGCAAGAAAATCGCTTGAACCCGGGAGGCGGATGTTGCAGTGAGCTGAGATCATGCCACTGCACTCCAGCCTGGGTGACAGAGTGAGACTCCTTCTAAAAAAAAAAAAAAAGTGCTCTCTTCTTTCAGTAATATCATTTGATCTTTATGACAATCCTGGGTGTCATCAGAGACAAGGACATCATATTTTATAACCAAGTATCCCAAGGCTCAAACAATGAAGTAACTTGCACAGGTCAAACAGCAAATCATTTGTAGAGTTGGTATGAAGCATATTTGCCTGGATATTCCTCAGTTAGGAATGTCCCCATGATGTTGGCTCATGGGCCAGCCTTCCAGTATTGATTGCTTTGTTTTTGGTCCAAAGAAAGCGTTTAAAGAAAAAGAGAATCCTGCAAGAAATGGAAAGTTTTTCTAAAAGCTACGTGAATCTCAAACTGGAATTGTGAAAAATCTTCCCCAGACATCTGAACTGGTTTCACTAAACCTTCTGAAGATTTGCAAGTGTATTGAAGTCTCCTTTAGGCCTTCAGAGACTTAATAGTATCTAGTGGGCTTCTGCAGAACTTTGCTGATTATCCTAAAGAAATAGGGGTTGAATGACACTTTGGGGGCACTCAGAACACGAGAAGTTGAGGGGAAGCTGAGTAAAAAACAAGAAATTACATTATAGGATGGTATGCCAGCAGAAATTGACAATTAAAACTCAGTATCTGATCTCACCATTGTGTAAAGTTATACACAGACGACCAGATCTTGGCATGTTTTGAAAACTTTCTGATAAGAATCTGCAACTATGACTAGCAACTGAAAGCAAGCAGGAAGTCTAGTGTTGGACTGAGTATCTGATGATTTAATGTGTTTCCCTGGATTTTCCTTTGCTTAGCAAGCAGGTAACTTGCTGAATCTTCTGCTGGCTGTCTTTAAAAGTATATTTAAGCTTGAAATGCTTTTGATTCTAGTGTGATTCATTGAGTCTTGGTTGTGCATAGTGCTACACTGGTTGCTATGGGAAAGTACAAAAATATAAAAGACAGTTCCTGACCAAAAGAAAATCCCATCTAATTTAAGACACATGAGACATATAGAATAAAAATTATATAAGTGTGTTTGCAATGGAATTTGTAAGCAGTTATTACTCAGTTCTCTGTTCAGATGTGACTTTTTGAAAACAGGACCTCCTTGGCTACGCTTTTTAGAGCAATGGCCTGTCCCACCTCCACATCACCTGTTGGCCTTTTTCCTGCTCTGTGGTCTTTATAACACTTATTACTATCTGAAATTAAATTGTTGTTTGTTTACTCTGCTCCTAGACATACTATCTCTGAGGGCATGAGCTTTGTCTTATTCTCTGCTGTATTCCTAGCACCTGAAGAAATGTTGGGAACATAGTAGGTGCTCATTAAATGGTTGTTAAATACATGAATAAAATACATATTAACCAACTGAAAATGGACCAGCATAACTTGGATTAATGCTCCTCACATTTGCCTGATAAGACTCACCTAGGCATTTGGAAAAAAATTTGCTGCAGGTTCTGATTCAGTAAGCCTAGAGTGGGGCTCAGGAATCTATAGTTTTAAGACACATCCCAGGTATTTCTTTTAATAGGACTGTCTGGGAAACATGCATTACTACAGTAATTGAGGGTGGGAAAGAAAAGTGAACTGATAACAGCAGGTTGCAGAGGTCAGTGGCTGCTCATTGCAGTTATCTGGAGGAGGTTTTAAAAATACTGATACCCACTCCAGACCTGTGAAATTAGAATCTTTTAGGTGGGGGCAGACTTGGGCAGGGTATTAAAGCCCAAGGCAGAGCCCTCATGGTGTAATCACCTCTGAAGCGTTCCACCTCTCAACACTGTTGCACTGAGGATTAAGTTTCCAATACATGAACTTTGGGGAACACATTCAAACCCTAGTCCCTGGGACTGCTGATGCCCAGACTCATTCGCAAAGATTCTGCTGTATTGGATATAAGGGAGGTGTTTTTTTGTTTTTTGTTTTTTGGGTGTGTGTGTGTGTGTGTGTGTGTGTGTGGCAGAGAGGAGAAAGAGAGAGAGAGATGCAGCAGTGTTGCTAATCAGAGGTTTAGAAAGAAAGAGGAGAGTCTGGCCCATATAATCTTCATAATAACAACAGCTATCGTTTATTGAGCAGTCACTGTGTAACAGCCACTGTGATGCCTGCTTTGCACAGACTACCTCATTTAATCCCCCACAAAAACTGTAGGAGGGAGGCACATTGGCAGCCCCATTTACAGACATATGATGAGACTGGGGAGGATTACAAGGTTCTATGACTAGGGATTGGTAGAGCTGGGATGTCAGCCTAGAACCTATACTCATATCCTCTGTCCTATACTGCTTCCTCAGCCAAAAACACGTCTGAAGAGAATGTCAACAAGGAGAAATTCTCTGTGGTAGAGGTCACGTCCAGTCATTTTAAGCTGTTTGCTGTGCTGTGTTGTGCTATAATTCTTTCCTCTTTGCCAGCAAGCCTTAAGCAAAGCTTGTTCCACATCAGCTGGCATGGGTGGTGCTGTGGGGAAAAAGAAACCAGGTGGGGTGAGGTTAGCATAAGGCAGAAGGATGGAGAAGGTGGTGACAGCACTAGAGACTGACAGCAATGCCCAGGAACCAACCTGGCGGGCAGGCTGATGGAGAGTTTCATAGAAAAGTAGTCATAGTGGGAGAATGTAACTTCTTGGGAAAATGTAGAGAAATGGGGTAGAGGTACTAAAAGTGGGGTGTTAGTGGACTGCGAGGCTCAAGTTATCCCACAGGGCTTCTAAAGGAAAAGACGGTCCACAATTCCAGAGGGCTAGGGCTTCTTTGGGCTTGCATTACTACATATAAAGTTATTTGTGGCACAGAGCTGGGCTCTTCTAAATTTTACTGTCTATTTTTTTATTTATCCTGGATTTTGGGTGGGGACTAAGACACATTTTCTTAAACCTTTTCATTTCCATCATCAGCGTTTCTTTTGGGGCCATTTTTACACAAAGGAACAGTTTTGACTTTGCTCTATTTAATCATTTCATAACAGTTACTGTGTAGGCAATAAGGAACAGAGAACAAAAAAGCTATGCTGAGATAAAGATGTAAGGTGACTGGTGAGGCTCACCCACCAGCTAGGCAACTCGCCTTACCACTTCCTTGCCTCCAGCTTTGAAGGATAAAATACAACCTCATATCTCAGCCGAACTGCCCTACGTCATGGAACTTTAAGATGTCTTGTGAACAGCCAAAAACATAAATGTTAACTGCTTTTAACTTTTAGAAGTACCAGTATTGACATTACAGCTTCAAATGTTTGCATCTACCATTCCTACTTTAAAGCCTAAAAAGCATCGTAGCCCAAATGAAAAAAATAGCAACTTAAAAATATGCCCAGAAATTGAGAAGTTAATCACAAATCCTGAACTAGGGGCTAAAGTCTGAGGCAAGTTGATTTGCCGTGGCCTCAAATTCTGTTCCTCTTATTTATATGGTTAAAAAAAAATTAGGGACATAAGAACATTAAAATAAAGTTTAAGGAGAAATGAATCACATTTCTTGGCTTTCACATGTTAAGAAAGATATG